AGAATTTTGGAGGTTGACAGTTCTTTATTTTATTTGCCCAATTTCACTTCTGCTTTCTTTTTCCTTTATATAGACATGACACAAAAAAGTCATGATTAGGCTAGATTTGAGGTTCACAAACTAAAATAAGTGAAGGATGAGTGAGGAAGGAGAAAAGCAAAAAGTTTGAAAGAAATTTTTTTGATGGGGGAAGAAGTAAAGCACATCATTGTGAGAAGATTGCCAAAAGCAGCATGAACTGATTTACTATGGAAAGGGTAAGAAAATTGAATAGAAGGAAGGAGATCCAGTATTGGCCCTTGAATCAGGTAAGCCAGTAGCTTTCCAGTCGATCCCTCTGCTCTATAGGGTTTTCAGTGGCTGATTTTTCAGAAGTAGATCACCAGGTCTTTCTTCCAAGGCACCTCTGGGTGGAAATGAACATCTAGTCTTTCAATTAACACAGTTTATATCACCCAAGGTCTCACTAGAGTCAGGTAGCAATGAGGAGTCAAGACTATTTGGTCAGTTCCCTCTCTGACCATAAGGTGGTGCTATCAGCCCAGTCTGCCCCAAGGGGTCAGGGCTTGCAGTAGGCGGAGTTCTCCATGTGTAAGCCATGTTCTCTCTGGCTCTGGAGCTCACAGAAAGCCTAGACTAGACAACATGTATCAACCTCCACTGTCACTGCCTCCTCACCCAAGAACTGTTCCCATCCTCTAAGGCTCCAGCTGCTCACACCTGACCAAAAACACTGTCTGCCTTCCTTAGCATCACAATCCCCATCAAGATACCAACCAATTATTTCTCTAATCTTTATGCTCCCCACAATAGCAGCACTGGGCTCCTAATCTCTTCCTAATTCCAGACTATAGTCTAAATGCATCCTGAAGTCTCATCCTTAGATATTGGCAGGATGAGATAGCAAGATCTTCTGTGGTGAGCACTGTTGTCACAGTGGCCCCAGCCTGGACCACAGAGCCCCAGCCAACCTCTCGATGGACTTCATCTCCTCCTTTAACACCAAAATGGGCCAGGCCACTCCAACTCCCTATAAAAATCCCACTGTCTCTCCTCCCCTCAACTGTATCTCCCATTGTTCCTACCTCCACTTATCAAAATCTCTTCCCATCTGTTCAAAGTCTAACCCAATTACCCCCTCCCTGAAACCTGCTAAGTGTTAACTGCATTAACTGATTAAATGGATTTAGAGAGGAGAATGGGGGTCCCAAGGATCAACTACAGAAGCCCCCGGATGTCACCATGCAGACCAGCTGGATGGTCTCAAACTGGGAAGGAAAACTCATCCACCCAGACTTCAAAGGGGTGCCGGACCTCAGAACACCACCAATTGGTCTGTCTTCGTCCCTCCCGGGAGACAATTCTATAAAGTCTCATTCTCCATCTAGGGTGAACTCAGGTCTGGACTCAAAGCCTTAAGGGCAGCATGTGGCACAATGTCCGTTCTCCATTCATGTTATTAGCTGTGGTCAGGTTGACCCCCAACTCATGGCAACCCCATGCACAACAGTTATCAGACCACTGTTGGACCACAGGGTTTTCACTGGCTGATTTTCAGAAGTGGATCACCAGGCCTTTCTTCCTAGTCTGTCTTAGTCTGGCAGCTTCACTGAAACCTGTTCAGCATCATAGCAACACCCAAACCTCCACTGACAGACAGGTGGTGGCTGCACATGAAGTGCATTGGCTGGGAATCAAACCCTGTCTCCCAAATGGGAGGCAAGAATTTTACCACTGAACCACCACTGCCCCCAATTCATGTTGGGTCCCATCTAGATGGCTCTGTCTCATGGCGACCTTATTTATAACAATGAAACATTGCCTGGTCCTGTGCCATCCTCATCCAATTCGTGTTTGCTTTATGACAATAAAATGAACAATAATTACTATTATTACTGTCCCCTTGCTACCTTCTACTCACATCAGCCACAATCTGCCAAATCAGGCCTGAAAGAAATCAGCATGGAGGAGGGGGATCACAGGGCAACAAAGTCACCAGACTAAGCCCCACTTCTTCCCACCCTCAGCCCTACCCAGGCCTGCAGCCTGGACTGAGTGTTCCATGCAAATTCTCCACTGATTGTGCAAAAGAATTTTCACAACCCTGATGGGACTGACTGAAACAGGTTTTTGGATCAGGATGTGTTTGCCCTGGCTAAGGGATCTAGAGATAAAAACCTTTAAGAATTAATACCTGTGTTAGCAAAACCTCAAATTCTAGCTACTAAGTTTTCTTTCAGTTCCAAAGGACCTATTGGCTCAGGTGGGTGCCACAAATGTCACCTATGAGGTCATGGAGCAAATACCCTGAAGATGAATTTTTAAATTAGGCAAAAGACAGAGCCTTGCAAAGGCAGTGCAGAGGCAGGAGCCCAAGGACCCTAAGGGGTCAGTCCCTCCATCTGCCTGGCTCTGCCCCAGGTGGCTCTGAGCCTTTGGAGCCTTCAACCCCAGGAAAAGGCCTTGCCCATTCCCCCAGCATCTCACTCCTATTTCTGTTGTTCAAAGAACCAGGTGACCAGATGTCTTCTTAATTCCACTATTGCTCCTGTTCTAACCTCCAAAAGAAGTTATGGAAAGCAAGCCTGCCCAACTATACCTACAAAGCAGAAGTGAAACCAAATGGTCATCTGGCCACAGGAAATTCAGGGACTTAAGGAGTTAGTGAGAAACCAGGATGCTGTTGCCTTCCCTATTTTTTTATTTATTTTTTTTTTTTTTTTAAGATCTGCAGGAGGTGGTTTTTCATAATCTAATTTTAAAGGAAGCTAAGTTAACTATGCAAACATATGCGGGGTGAAAAATGCGAACCACCCATTTTAATGTACTTGCACCCTCATCTTTCACAAAAGATCTGAGGCTTCGGGAAGTAATTGCTGTTAGAATCATGGGCCTCACCGGTCAGTTTCCTGCCGCCGCTGTAGACTCAGACCTTCAAAGTGACCATTTATTGGGGCTCTGAAAGTCGGGCGGGGACGGTGGGCACCGGCTCCCGGCCTTCGCGCCCCCGGGAGAGCCCACTCTGACTGCGTCCTCCTCAGTCCTTCTTCTCCTTTCTCCTCCCCCAGGGTCGCAGGGCGAGCCGAATAGCTGCAGCCAGCGGCGTCCATCCTGGCCCCCGCCAGTTTTCCCCACGCCCGCCAGAGTGCGGCGGGGACCCGGACACAGAAGCTTCGGGAGAAGAGAGGCGGCCCAAGGATGACCTCCCCGGCGCGGCTCCGCACCCCCTCCCCCAGCCGTGTCACATGGAGGCCCCAATGAGGCGGGCAGTGCGCCTCACAGCGGAAACCAGGAGCCGCGTCGCAGCTGGCGGTGGGTGATGAAACCTTTCCGGCGCATTACCGCAGAGCGCTAAAGCCGAGAGCTAGGCGGGAGTGTGAGGGCAGGCTTGTACCCCGGCTCACCTGTTCTCCAGGAGGAGAGTGGGGGCGACGGGGGAGGGGCGAGGGCGCGCCTAGCCGGGGAGAGTGCTTAAGCGCTCCGCGGCTGCGCTCGCATCCGGTCCCTCCAACAGCCCGCGAGCCCCCGGGGTGCGCCGTCGGGCTGACCAGCCCAGAGCAGTTCCTGTCCCCGGCCCCCGCGCCGGCGCCGGGGAGACGTGAGCGTGCACACGTACACACACAGCGGGGGAAGGAGCGCTCCGAGCGGCGCCCAACTTTTTTCAGCCTTCCTCGGCCAGGGAGCAAGCCGCCCGGCCTAGCTTGGGCAGGGAGCTAGAACTAGGAGGGAGGAAAAGTGAGGAGAATTTCTCTAGGCTTTTGTCTTTTGGGTTGTTGTTGTTGTTTTAAACCCATTGCCATCCGATGCTTGGAGAGTAAAAGGGACCCGGAGCGGGGCGGCGAGTAGCGCTTTGGGAAAATGGAAGAGCCTGTTTGGAGACGCGTAAAGTTGCCTTTCAAGCTCCGGCCCCCGGGGCATGCGATGCTCCGCGGCGGGCTGACTCAGGGCTGCCAAGGCCTCCCTGCCACCCGCCTGGAAATGATGCAAGTCCGGACTGTCACCTGGATCTCCGCAGCCCAGCCGAGAATCCGTCTGGATTGGGGGGAGGGGTGAGAAACTGACACCCCAAGTATTGCACAGCCCCACGAAGACGCTGCCCACCAAACAGGGCAATAAGAAAGGGGGAAGAGGGCAGTTGCTCAGGCCGAGTACTGTATCTAGTGCTTCTACTCCTACCTTCAACAGTTAGTGTTGGATTTTTTTTTTTTTTTTTTAATTCCAAATGGCACAACGCCAGGAATACCCATATGTGGTCAGTTTGCCCGGAGCATCGCTGTGCCTAGACTACTCCTTCAATCTGCCAAGGCCTTGCTTGGGGCTGGGAATCTTTGAACTCCAAACAGCGGAAAGAGGAAACTTTCCCAGCCTGGTGAGGGTGTGATGCGAGCCAGGGGCCCGGGGGACGCAGTCCCAGCGCAGATCGTCTCCTCCTGCATTTTTGAACTGCAACCGGAGCTGGGGTTCGCTTTTATTTGTTTCAGTCAGTTCGGCCATTGCCCTGGAGCGCCCATACACGCGCACGCATCTCCGGCCGCGCTCACACACACTCACACACACTCACGCAAACGCGTGGCCGCCTCCAGGTCGAGAACTTTGTGGGGCGCTCCCAGAGGCGCTCCGCTTCCTCCTGTAGTAGTTGGGCGCAGGCCCCGCCTCCCAGCCGTGTTGTCAAACGGGCCGGGGTCTCGGATTGGTCCAGCCGCCAGGACAACACCTGCTCGACTCCTTCATTCAAGTGACACCAGAGCTTCCAGGGATATTTGAGGCACCATCCCTGCATTGCCAGGCACTCGCGGCGCTGCTAACGGCCTGGTCACATGCTCTCCGGAGAGCTACGGGAGGGCGCTGGGTAACCTCTATCCGAGCCGCGGCCTCGAGGAGGAGGGAAAAGGCAAGCAAGGAAGAAGAGTGGGAGGAGGAGGGGAAGCGGCGAAGGAGGAGGAAGAGGAGGAGAGCACAAAGAATCCAGGTCTCCAGGCGGTAGGTTTACACCAAGAACCATGTGTGTCGAGCGGCTGGGCCAGTTCGTGACCCTGGCTTTGATGTTGACCACCTTCGACCCGGCGCGAGGGACCGACGCTACTAACCCGCCCGAGGGTTCCCAAGACAGGGGCTCCCAGCAGAAAGGACGCCTGTCCCTGCAGAACACAGGTAAGTGCGTGCGCCCCGCGGCAGGAAGCTGCAGGGAGGGGACATGGTGCAACCATACAGCACGCCCGGGCACTTCGCCCGGAGCCGGGCGCCCACCTAGGGTCACGCAAACTCTTGGGGTGGACCGGAACGTGCAAAAGGGGAGCGCGAGGAGAAGTCTGCGCCGGACGCTGCGCGCCCGGAATCTGCACGTGCTGTCAGGGTGATGAAATGGTTAGGGCAGGACTTGTTGCTGTCCTCGTCAGGACTGACGGAAAATGAGGCAGCGCCCCACGCTGCCAGCACCCAGTCCGAGTCCGGGGTCCGGTGCAGTGTGCTGCTGCATCCTATCCTGGCGGGCCTGCGGGAGAGGCGGAGGGTCTCCGGAGCCGGGCCGCGCCCTGCACGCAGAAAACTTCTCTTCCCAGCCAGGCGGCCTCGGAAGGACCGCTTCTCCCCCTCCTCCAAAGATGCGAGAAGTGCGAGAACTTTGCAGGCGGGCCAAATTGCTTGGCGAACTTTCCCCCTGGGGATATTGCTTTCCGAAAGGCGATAACGCGCAAAGCTTACCTCCGCCGCGCTGCCGCCAATCTCCTCTCCTGGGCAGATCAGTCAGCCGAGAAATGATCACACGGCCCCAACTGTGCGCCGCCGCTGCTCAGCCGGCTTTTCTGTCCCTTGCAAGCTGCGAAGCCGAGCCAAGCGTGCAGAACTCGAGGCTGGACCTTCTCCCAGCTCCCGAGAGAGAAGCAAATCTGCCCACAGTGCCTTCGCTCTACCCTACCCCTCATCTTTTTTGAGGGGAGGGGGCGTGCGAACGCTGCAGCAGAGCGCCCTCCCGGCTAAAGCAGGAATGCACTAGTGCCTATTAGGGACGCCCCAAGTGAGTGACTCGCTTGCCTGCACCGGTCCTGCCCCGCGCGCTGAGGCCGTAGGTGGGGTCATCCGGGAACCTCTCTTCTCCACGTGCCGGTGTTAGCGCCCAGGGCCGGCGCTCCCCACTAATGAGCACTCTTCTCTGCCCTTCCCCCTCTCCAGCGCTTTCTCAGGGAACTGAACCTGATTCTCAGTAGTTGGTGACCCTCCACAAATACACGCCCCTCATTCTCTCGCTAGATTTAATCTGAATACGGATTATCTACTCTGACCCCGCCCTTCTTCCAAAATATACTTTTCTGATGTAATTTTGTGGTTGGTTTAAATCAGGGAATTGGGTAGGGGGGAGGGAGAGAAAAGAGGCTTTGCACTTGGCAGCTTGGCAGTTAACTCCCTCAGTCTGCCCTTTCCGAAGGAGGAATTAGGGCCACATCCTGGGAAGGAGGGCACAAAGGTCCCCGAGCCACCGGGCTTCTGGGGAATTAAGTGCCATCTCACACCAGATCGCTAATTAAAAGGCGCCGCTGCCCGCAATGGTGGCGTTTCTGAAGGCTGCCCCCCATCTGAGCTGCTCGCAAACCGCAGCTTCACTAGCGTGGTATTTTTAATGCGGATGGTTTGGAGGCGCTGCATTAATAGGAATTTTGTTTTGATTTTTAGGTGTTGAATCATAAAGCTGAATTGAAATTGCTTTTTGGACGCTCTCAGTTGGGGGTCAGGAAGGAAATGGCTATGATTTCCTAGCAGCAGCATTTACAGAACCAAGCAGAGAAGGGTATTTCATTCAGTGATGAAGGACAGAAGGGAGAAAGCAATCTGAGAGTCCTCAAACTAATTTTTGTCTTTAAAATGTGTTTAAAAGCTGCAATGTCTTCTGCTCTCGCACTAAGTATGCCCACAAATAGTTGAATAAAATGGGAAGCATGAGAAATGGAACACCCAAACCTAACTTCCAATTGTGATTTTTGTGATGTCAGTTTGGCTAAATTTTTTTCACAAATAATATTTTTCACAGGTTGATGATATTTTTCTTCCTCATCTTTTCTAATCTTGAACTAGTCATCACTAACTTTTATTTCAGTCTCTCTGTATCTGTTGCCCAGCATGGATGATCCATGTATGTGTGTATTTCTATTTTCATTTTAGCTGAAATCCAGCACTGTTTGGTCAACGCCGGCGATGTGGGATGTGGCGTGTTTGAGTGTTTTGAAAACAACTCTTGTGAGATCCGGGGCTTACATGGGATCTGCATGACTTTCCTGCACAATGCTGGAAAATTTGATGCCCAGGTACAAACCATATATAGCATGAAGGATGTTTTGGGTTGGCACAGCATAATTGAGATGTTCATTGGAAAAGATTTGTTAACAGATTTCCATAGCTCTTCTTTGTGGTGTGTTTTAGCACTTGCAAAAGATATTCTCGGTATACAGCAGAATGCCAGGGTCTGCCCACTGCACTCACACTCTGCTCTCTGGAGCTGCCATGTGGAATAAATCTTTCTACACTCTTACACTGTGTCTACAAAGCAAAGAGGAATGGAGGGCAAGTTGAACAATTTAAGCAGAGAAGATAAAAGTCATGGTAAATTATAAACACCTTGTATGGCTTCCCAGAACGCAGTTCCCAAGGCCCATCACATTGGAACAGTAGATTAGGGAGAGCAGACAGGGACACCAATTATACATTTCCAAAGTTATTTTCACCTACTAGAGACAAGTAAGTGAAACAGTTCTGCTCTGTCCTGTAAGGCTCTATGAATCAGAATCAACTCAACAGCAGTGGGTTAAATGAGAGAATTTTCGGAACTTCATTGTCTCCTAGTGATTATGTGGTGGGCAACCTGGATAAATCAGGCCCTCCAGAAAAGCAGTTTTATATTCTTCCTAAGTAGTGGACCTTCCTCTCCTAACCTGAATATTCAAAACCCTGAATGAGTCCCTCAATTCTGCACTTTTCTTTTGCTCTATATAACAAATATAGCCAGGACCTGACCCACTTCACTTATCCCAGGATCCCAAGGGTAAAGCCAAGTTGCCACTCAGGGCATGACAGAAACACAACAAGCAACCTTATGGCTCCAGTGCTGATGATCCAAATGCACTTGTAGTTGGCATGTGGCATAAGGTTCACCTTCGTTTTCTCTCTGACTCTTCTATGCACTGTTGAAGGGCACCACCACCAGTTGCCACTGAGTCAACTCCAACTCATGGAGTCAGAATAAAACTGTGCTCCTTAAGGTTTTCAATGGCTAATCTTTCAGAAGTATTGCAAAGGCCTGTCTTCTGAGGTATCTCTGGGTGGACTCGAACCTCCAACGTTTTTGGTTAGCAGCCTAGTACATTAACTGTTTGCATCAGCCAGGGACATCACTGTTGAAGCACTGTTATTAAATCTCGTGAACATCCTCTCCCAGGTCATTGAAGTGCAATGACAACATGTGGATGAGGCCAGCAGCTTAGTTGTAATTTATGAAAGTCACTGGCCATCATCACCTGACAAAACCAAACCAAATCCACTGCCATCGAGTAAATTCCAACTTACAGTGACCCTTTGAAACAGAGTAGAACTGCCCCCACAGGTTTTCCAAGGCTGTAAATCTTTGTGGATATAGACTGCCTCATCGTTCTCCCACAGAGCAGCTGGTAGATTTGAACCACCAACCTCTCTTTGATTAGCAGCTGAATGCGCTTTAACCACTTTAGCCACCAGGGCCCCTTTGACATCCTGTAGAGAACCTGAAAACAATGCCTGAGAACCAAAAGGGGATTCAATGGGGCTGGCTGCCTAAACGGCAGGGGATATAGGGTGGTGGGGATATAGGGTGGCGAGAGGGGAGGCTGAAACCCAAGAAGGAAAGAAGTAAGACATTTGAACTTGAGACTCCTTGCAGCTCTGTTACCCTAATAAAGCATCCTTTCTATATTAACTAAGGAGCTCTGGTGGCACAGTGGTTAAAGCATTTGGCTGCTAACCAAAAGGTCAGCAGTTTGAAACTCTGCTTCCATAAAGATTTATAGCCTTGGAAACCCTATGGGTTCTATGCTGTCGCACAGAGTCATTATGAGTTGGAGTCAACTGAATGGCAGTGGGCCTGTATTAACTAGAATTTGGAAGCATAATAGGAACTCCAGAGGCAAAGATGTGTGTTTAAGGGCAGTCCCACAGGATGTCAGAAAAGAATAGCAAGAGCAGATTGCTGCAGCCTCATATACACTCATTTCCCTTTTTGTTTCTCAACCAGCAGGAATATGTTCTCAAGTGAGAGGCATCCCTTTTGAGTTGAATCTCAGCACATAACTACTTAATAAATGAACACACCCTAGCCTCCATCCTATTTCACTGCCTCTGGAAAGTTGGAGGGAAGAGGGCCATGGGGAGGTGGGTGGGCCACGTGGTTTTCCTGTGATTAGACACTATCTCTATTCTTTCTAAAGGGAGAACAAAATAAATGTGTTGAGAGGCTTCCCACTTCCAATCTAAACGCATTTACTTTCTCAACTCAGTTACTTCTGGCCTCTCTGAAAACAGGCGACCTCTCCAGCAACAGTTCGTTTCTATAGTAATGGAGGGTGAGAGATCTCCTGGGTCAATATCCCACAATCCTCTCTGCCATGTGAGGTTGATAAGGGAGCTAATGCCTGACTCGCCTCCACACCCCCAACAGCTGTCTCCTTTCTAGGATAAGAACAATCTCATGGGGTTGCCAGGAAAGAGCACTGTAGGCCAGATGTATGCCTGGCCGCCTTCGCCACTCACAGGCAGGGAGTGTGGGGGAGGGGCCGCCAGCCAGGCAGCCCAGACTCCAGATGCTGCCAGGCGGTGTGCCAGGCAAGCCTTTTAGAGACAATAATCCTAACCGTTTAAAGGAGTTGAATCATTTTTTAAAAGGAAAAGAAAGCTCCTCTTTAAAAGGATAGGCGGAAACAGGAGTGTTTGTTTGGGACAGTGGGGGGCACTGAGGCAGGCAGGGGAGGTACATCTAGCACCCTACCTTGACTTTGCTCATAGAATAGAAGGAAAAAGCAAAGGTGTGAGATTTGGGCAAACCGGCACCACCTGCTTGGGAAAAATGATTGCTGGGAACCAAGAAGGAGTTGTGGATTTAGCCAGATGTTCCTTGCGTTCCAGAAAAGTTGCAACCAAACAATGCAAACTGGGCTGCCTTGGGAACAGATAGCCATGGAAGCTCCAGGACTAGAGGCTTGGAAGGCATGGCTGGAGAGGAAGGAGGCAGAGCTGTTAGTCTACAGGAATAACATCCTTTTTGACCAAACTCTATAGGTATCATGTCATTCTGGATACACCTAAAGTTATGTGAAAGACAGTCTGAAGTGAGGCGTTGGGGTTCAGTTGTCAAAAAAAATCTCATGTAAACCCAAGAAGGATAATGCCTAAGCATGTAACGAGGACTCTTTTCTGTTTCTCTCTCCCTTCTCTGTCGTCTCTCTTCTCAGGGCAAGTCGTTCATCAAAGACGCCCTGAAGTGTAAGGCTCACGCTCTACGGCACAGGTTTGGCTGCATAAGCCGGAAATGCCCCGCCATCAAGGAAATGGTGTTCCAGTTGCAGCGGGAATGCTACCTCAAGCACGACCTGTGCTCTGCCGCACAGGAGAATACCCAGGTGATGGTGGAGATGATCCACTTCAAGGACTTACTGCTGCAGGAGTGAGTACTTCCCTGTGGAAAGCCAGGGGAGCAGGGCCCCTTCCAGGTCAGAGGAAGGGGCATGGTGCCCTGGGGACTGGAGGAGCATTTGATTCAGTTTGAGGGGCTTGAACTCCCCTGTAAAATGGGGGACAGAGGTTGCCATTTACTTCAGAAATCTGCCCTGACTCTGGGTGACCCCTTTCCTGCTGGCTTTCAGGAAAAATGAAAAAGAACTCCACCATCAGTTCCTAAATCATAAGCAATTACAAACAAGAGAATTTTAATGAGCATGAACTGTGTAGGATTCAGAAAGGCTCTTCCCCTTCCCTTCAGTCAGGAACACAGTAGTTTTCAGAGTATCCCACTTAGTTGTATAGATGTCCTTGGGGGCAGCCGATTGCTAATAGCATGATGCACTGAGCATTTACTAAGTGCCAAGGGCTTTATATGGAATTTTCTCTTGATTCTCACAACAGTCCTGTGAGATGGGTACCCTTAACATCTCCATTTTACAGATAAGCAAACTGAGACTCATTGAGGTGAAGGTCATAGAGCTAGTGAGAAGCAAAGCCATAGACAGTTTGGCTCCATAACTTACACTCTTATGTAACAAAACCTAAGGAGCTCTGGTGGCATAGTGCCTAAGGCATTTGACTGATAACCAGAAGGCTAGAGATTCAAACCCACCAGCCACTCCTCAGAAGGAAGACTAGGCAATGTACTTCCATAGAGGTACTAACTGGGAAACCCAAGGAGGGGTTGCTAAGAGTTGGAATAGACTTGAGGGCAGTGAGTTTGATTTTAAGAGCCATAGTTTTATCACTGCCACCACAAGCTCTTCTTTCCTTTAAAAAAGAGAGAGAGAGAGAGAGTTGCCTTTGAATCAGCTCCAGCTCATCATGGTGACCCTATGTGTGTCCAAGTAGAGCTGTGCTCTGGAGGGTTTTCAGTGACTGAGTTTTCGGAAGTGCATCACTAGCCCTTTCTCCTGAGGGGCCTCTGGGTGGACTCAGACGTCCCCGCTTCCGGGTTAGCAGCTGTGCTTGTTAACCTTTTGCACCACCCAGGGAGTTCCTCCTTTCGTTAGGAGATTCGAGTCACCTCTAAGGCACAGATGGCTTCCCAGAGAAAATGCAAAACCAATGTCACAAATTTTAGTTAAACAGCTTTATGCCAAAGTGAGGAAACATTATCTTATGTATTTGGAAACTTGCAATTCAGTGATACTGGACATCTCATTCCTTAAAATTCTTTTTAAAATATTCCATCTATAAAAAAAACAGAAATCAAACCAGTTGCCGAGCCGTAAGTTCCAGCCCATGGCAACCCCATGTGTGCAGAGAAGAACTGCACTCCATAGGGTTTTCAAGGCTGAAACCTTTTGGATGTAGATCATCAGGCCTTTTTTCCAAGGTGCTTCTGAGTGAATTTGAACTGCCAACCTTTCGATTAGTAGTTGAGCACACCTAACTAATGGCAGTTCTAAATTTTGGTAAAGCATGTTGGCACCTACTTACTCCTTATATGAAGTATGGCCAGTAAGGCCAAAAGGTAATGATAGCCCTGTCCTGGAAGATGCAAGAGAAAGAAAACTGATACTAAACAATCCTTGCAAATCATTACCAGTTTATGGCACCATTTGGCCTCCCATGGTGATTTATTGGGCCAAATCAGTACAATTTTATTAATTCTTGCTCCTCAGTTTGTGCCAGAACCTTCTTCCCACTATGTCACTAAATAGACAACATCTCATCCCACAATAACCACTTGGATCATCAAAGACAAGAGCCAGACAAGAGCCATGTCATGTTATTTTCCACTTGTTTATGAGGTTCTAGGTATCTCGCAACATCCCCGCTACAGTGTTAGAACTGTAAGAGTCACTGGAAAATTCTACAGGCAGCTCTTGCCAAGAGCATTAATAATGTTTTATTAATAACCTTTAATAATGTTTAATAATAACCTTTTCCTTGAGATGTACTCATACTGTATAAAATATTACCTACTTTGTAAAGGAACAGTAGCAACAAGAGCATCAGTAACAACAATAATAATGATAGCTACCTTTTTGTAAGTCCTTGGACAAGGGCTTTACATGGATTATCCTTCCCAACAATGTTAAAGGACAGAAATCAATAGCCCCATTTAACATATGAAGACACTGATTCTACAAGGTTGAAGAACTTGCTCTGAGATTTAATTCACACTTTTCAGCTTGGGACTTGGTGATATATATATGTGTGTATATGTGTGTGTATATGTATTGTGTGTGTATGTATTGTGTGTGTGTGTGTGTGTGTGTGATTTGGGTGAAATCAAAAGGCTGAAAAGGGTTTACAGAGCAAATTCACTTTCCATACAGCAGCTCACATACACTTTGTCTCATGACATTGATTACAATTTACCCCAATGCAACAGCTCCCCTCCCACCTCCTCCCCATAGTTACCTCTTCCCTGTATCCTTCCCTCCATGCACTCCTGCCCCCTGAGCTGTCTCCCTATGCATAAACAGCCCTTCTATTCTCCCATGATTGATCTCCCCAAGGAGTGTATCTACCTAGTGTAAATGTTTACCTCATACGCCTGTCTCTTGTTTGGCTAGAAGCCACAGGGGTGGGTTCAATTCCAGACCTGAAGGGCAGCTACGGGTCATAGTCTCAGTGGTTCCATCAGGCTCTATCAGACCAGCAAACCTGGTCCCTTTTTGTTTGCAAATGATTGTCAGCTTTGTTCTACATTGTTCTCCCTCTCTATCCAGGATCTCCTACATAGATCCCCCCCTGAGTGATTGACATTGGTAGCCAGGCACCATCTAGTTCTTCTGGTTTCATAGTTGTATAGGCTGAGGATCACATGGGGTACCAGTTGCTGGGACTAATTGTTTCCATGAGTCTTTGGTTTCTTTCATTCTTCTTTGCTCTGGACGAGGAGAGTTGGTGATATATATAAATGAAGCTAGTTGTCAGGAATAGACCTCAAACTTCCTTGGTCCTCACCTGTCTTCTCAACCAGGCCTGCTGAAGGCTCACTGGTCCCCAGGTGTGGCGCTTTCACTTCCTTGTCAAACATATCCCCATTATACATGAAGAATCAGTACCAGATGCCATTGAGTCAACTGTGACTCCTGGCAACCTCATGTGTGTCAGAGAAACTGTGTCCCATAGGGTTTTCAATGACTGATTTTTCAGAAGCAGATCACCAGGCTTTTCTTCCAAGGCACCTCTGGGTAGATACGAACCTCCAACCTTTCACTTAGCAGCCAAGCATGTAAATCATTTATACTTCTCAGGTAGAACACTGTAAAATTCCCTTCCTCCAAGATGCCTCTAGAAAAGAAGGATTTTTCTCCCAAGTCTATCAGTGATGCAAGAGACAAATGCCCCATGGGTGAGAAACTCCATAAAGTTCAGTCTCCTGTGACTTGCTGTCACTCATTAAAGCTATTTTGATGGCCTCAAGTGTAGAGGATGCTGTAGGAGTGCTAGTATATAAGTCTATAATACATTCCTGGAGTTAGAGAAAACTTTGTCTCCTTAGAGAAGAAATGTTCTTTGGAAAAACAGAAAGTTCTACAGTTTTTTGGTAGCATAGTGCCTAAAGCACTTGACTGCTAACCAGAAGGCTGGCGGTTCAAACACACCAGCCACTCCTCGGAAGGAAGATGGGGCAATCTACTTCCGTAGTGATACTGCTTCAGAAACCCAAGGAGGGGTCGCTATGAGTTGGGTACGACTCGACAGCACATAACAACAACCGGACAAAAGAGTGAGCTCTAGTAGTATAGTGGTTAAAGCATTCAGCCGCTAACCAAAAGGTCAGCAGTTCAAACCCCCCAGCAGCTCTGCAGGAGAAAGATGAGATGATCTGCTTCTGTATGGATGTATAGCCTTGGAAACCCTATGGAGCAGTTCTACTCTGTCCTAAAGGGTTACTGTGAGTCGGAATCAACTCACTGGCATTGAGTTTTGAGAAAACATAAGAAGACTTTCTAGTGTCTCCTCATGGAAACACTTACTCATGCAACACTTACCTCCAGAGGGCTCTGCATTATTTAGAAGGCGCCCAGATGCCCCATCCCCAGCCTGATCTGAAAATGGAGGGTGCCCACTCTGATAAGTAACCTGGGCTTCCTTTAAAAACACTCCTGTGACTGCATGCGTATCCTCTTGCTTTCTACTAAGCGGGCACTTCCAGGCAGTGGGTCTCCCCTAACTCCAACTAGTAAACCAGTTGCCAGAGTCAAGTCTGATTTATGACAACTCCATGTGTGTCAGAGTAGGACTTTACTCCATAGGGTTTTCAATGGCTGATCTTTCAGAAATAGATCACCAGAACTTTCTTCCTAGATGCCTCTGAGTGGACTCAAACTGCCAGCCTTTCAGTTAACAGCTCAGCACATTAACCATTTGTACCGCCCATGGATCCTCACTAAACTCCAGGTCCCCACAGCCCCGCCCCCTTATGAAGCTATGACTATGCAGTGCATCTCCTTGACCTTCAAACTGAATTGCCTGAGCGTTTTGGTTTTCGAACCGTCTTACCTGATTTTGATCCAAAGAATCTTGCCAGTCCCAATTAAAAAAAAAAAAAAAAAAAACACTTAGGAATGTGTTGGCATTAGTCACAGACAAGAAAATGAGAACAAAATTTGCTTCTCACTTTAGAGAAGAGGATATCACAGGCACCCCTAAATCCACACCATCCCCATTCCTCAATCCCATCTTCACCAAGCCAGTCAGTAACACAGTAGTTACAGTGTAACACAGTCAGTTACAGTGGTTCTCTTCAAACTCTGCTCCCTACCCCTTCCCACCTCATTTTCTCCTTATCATCTGCCCCCTCAGCTGTAGCCAGCCCTGCTTGGCCACCACACGCTTTGTCACTATGTGCTGGTAGCCATTGATCATCTGAGCAGGCACATACATCCCCCTCCAAGTATTTTAAAAATCCTTCAGCCTTGCTGACACCCAGTTGAGAGAGCTGGGCTTTGTCATTAGACACAGGCTGAGCTTGCAGCCTGAGAAGGCACCAGGCCAGCTCAGAACACGGCTTAGATTAGCTAGGTTCACCATACACACCCTCCGAACAGCACACAGCTTTCTCCTCGGGAGAGAGAGCCAAGGGCAGAGTAATATGTAGGCTTGTCAGCCTTCTCAGGTCAGCCACAGGGTTCTGAGAGCTCTTTGGAGAAAAAATGCCCTGACACTGGAGGCCAACAGGCAGCTGTATATTCCCCAGAGAGCCTTCCCAAGCCTTCCCTAACTCTGGGGAAAGAAAGAACCTTGAAAGCAGAGCCTCACAGACTCAGGCCCTGCAGTTTTCTCATCCAGCCCCAGAGGGGTGGAAGGTACAACCAACAAGGTGCTAAAATCGTGTTCCTGCTTCAGCAGAGAACCTGTTGCCCTTGAGTTCACTGTGATTCCTGGCAACTCCCCATGTGTCAGAGTACAGCTATGTTCCACAGGGAACACAATATCTGATTTTTTGGAAGTCGATAGGTATGCCTTTCTTGCAGTGCACCTCTGGATGGACTCAGACCTCCAACCTTTCAGTTAGGAGCCGAAACCTTTGGCACCACTCAGGGACTCTGCTTCAGGAGATACCTTCCTGTGCTACCTGAGGCCAGTTGCAAGTTTTCAAAACATGAAAGGCAACAAGCATGAGTTGAGCATTTCCTTCACATTGCCCTCCTTCTGGTGGCCTAAGACAAGTGTTGTCCCTTCCTTGTCACAGTTACAGACAAGGAAACTCTCTGCCTTAGAAAGTTTAAGCAACTTGCCCCATGAGATATCAGAATCTCAGACTCCCAAGCCATGAAGTGGGCCTTAAAAGGCAGCTTGATATCCATCAGCCACAACATTCCTCTCCTCTGCTCTCAGCCCGGCCCCAGGCCTTTCTAGCCTCAGAAACTTCCTAAAGCCACATTCTCTCCCCTTGTCTCAGTTTTTACATCCTTGAAATAAGGACAGTTCACCCAACAACAACTTGAGGACTCATAATGAAGAAAAGGGCAGTAAACTGCTTTACAAGCTTTAAAAAATAATCTCCCCCGCTTTCTGCATGAAAACAGCTGCCCCCTTGCAAAGAAGAGATAAAGTGGACTGGAATGCAGCTGCTCAGGTGGTCCAGGCTTATGGAAGAAAAAAGTGTTATAAGTGACCTCACTCCACAGAGTGATTGTCCTGCCCAAGGTGATAGCCCAGAGCTGCAATACTTGCAGTCAGATATATCCAGAAACTTTGCTAGGCAAGAGCTGCATTAAGAATCTGGGAGCCACGTGAAGCATTCCAAACCCCCTTTGGGGATCCGAACAGTCCCAGTGAATGGTATGAAAGGCACAGTGAGTGGACCATGGGAGCTCATTGCCAGAGACATTCCTTACTAAAAGGGCCCAAAGATACAAAAAGTAGGCAGCTGCTCCTACCTTCCTCACATCCCCACCACACAAGGACAAAGGCAGGGTTTCCAAGATGTAGTCACTCCACCTCCAGCAGTTCTCCTTAAGCATACCAAGACAACCAGAAGGGCCTGGGTAATTTGCTCTCCCCTCCAGACCTGAGTGAGTTTCACTTTGAAACAGTACATTTCACAGAGACCCAGCTCTTGTTCGAAGCCTCCTGCTGCTAGCCCTCACTTCCAGTTTAGGGGGAAGCTCAGATTAAACAAAGAAGTGTGGCTCACCACTCCCACCCCTCAGCCTCTCCAGCCAACAAAGGGAGAAGCTGCCTGGGAGAGAGCATCCTAAGATAGTGCTCCCCACCCTTCTCCACAGCTTCCAGGTGTCTCTAGATGCAGAGGGAAGGTTAAGAGGGCAGTGTATCTAGTAACTTCCACGAGCTATGACTTTCCCATTAGCCTGGACTAGTGGCAAACCTGGATATGAGGGATGGTTTCTTTTGCCCAGGGAAGTGGCACGTCATCCAAAGTAAGCTGGCCTCACTAAAGCCACATGCAAGAAAATAATGTGAGGTTCATGGAGACCATTCCGGAGCCCCCCTAAGAGGGCTTCTATGGCTCCTTCCATTTGGTACTGAAGGACCTCCACCATTTGCCTAAGTACCATTCTAGAGGTCCCCGGACACCTCTCCACTCCAGCAAGAACCCACCTCCCTAGCATGCCCTAAACATGCCTTCCATTATTCACCCTATTCCATTACTGGCCCTAGCCCAAGTCCTCACCCTCTGGTTCTCCACCTTCCCCAAGGCTCTTTGTTGTAGAGTTGGACTCCTAGCCTTTACCATATGCACCTGTGGAATGTGGCCTGTCCTTTTCCATGTGGTGAGCTCTATTTCTACAGTTACTCGGAGAGCAGGAGCCTCTCTGTCCCTCTAATGACCTCCAATGCCTGGCGTGGAGCCTGGAGCACCATCTCCACTCAGTACAAGTTGGGGGAGGCCAGTACTACTGCATAGAAGATGAGTAGAAGCTGAATTCCAGAAAGGTCTTTGACCAAACCAAACTCAAGTCCTATCTCTCTTTCCTAGTGTCGTCACTACCCTTGATAGCCCAATGGGGACTTGTCCCATTCTCAGTATCTCTCTTTCTCTTTACTATCTATTTCTAGGCCCTATGTGGACCTGGTGAACCTGCTGCTGACATGTGGGGAAGAGGTAAAGGAGGCCATCACCCACAGCGTGCAGGCTCAGTGTGAACAGAACTGGGGGAGCCTCTGCTCCATCTTGAGCTTCTGCACCTCGGCAGCCCAGAGGCCCCCCACGGTGCCCCCCGAACGCCAGCTCCAGGTGGACAGAGCCAAGCTTTCTAGGGCCCCCCATGGGGAAGTGGGCCACCACCTCACAGAGCCCAATAGTAGGGAGACCAGCAGAGGGGCCAAGGGTGAGCGAAGCAGCAAGAGCCACCCAAACGCCCATGCCCGGGGCAGAGCCGGGGGCCATGGGGCCCAGGGATCTTCTGGAAGCAGCGAGTGGGAGGATGAGCAGTCTGAGTATTCCGATATCCGGAGGTGAAGTGAGCGGCCTGGCCATGAAATCTTTCCTCCACGCCGTCCATTTTCTTATCTATGGACATTCCAAAACATTTACCATTAAAGAGGGGGGATGTCACACGCAGGATTTTATGGGAATTGTGGACTTCAGGAAGGTGTATGTTAGCAGAATGAAAGATGAGATGGAGACTCCTTGGGCAGTGAGGTCTCAGTTGTACCTGGTGAATTCTGCACTTACACATACTCAAGTGAGTGTGTCGTCCTCGTTGTAACTTAGTCTTCTTTCAAGCCCGTAGAGCCAGTGGGAGGCCATCTGCGGTTTCCTCTTGTGGGGGAAGTGACTGGGGAGGGGCAGGGTCAAGGGCGCCCACCTGGGCAGGACCACACACCTGGTGCTGGGCCCCCCCACCCCGCAACTTCTAGTGCTGTCTTGGAGGAAGAGGAGGAGGGCGGCGGCTGGATTCCGCAGTGCAGGAGTGAATGTAAAAATATCGCTGGGGATACAGGAAAGATGGAGAGGAGGCAGGGGCCGCATGGGTGCTCGGTGCCAAACCGAAATTCAGTTTCTTGCATGGGACCTTGAGATTTAGAGCTGCTTGGGGGCAGGGGGAGGGTTCTAAGTGTCATTTCTGAGCCATCGTTCTATCTGGGGGACACTGTCCAAAGGAGTGGTCCCACATGTTTGTATTTTAACCACTGCTTCCAATCTTGATTTCACTTTTTTTTTATCCAATTACATCTACATATCTGTCGTCTAAATAAATGGCTTTCAAACAAAGCAAATGGGTCATTAAAACCAGCTCAAAGGGGGAAAAAAAAAGCCCAGCTCATCCTTTGGAACCGATTTTTTTTTCCTTTTTAAGTGCTATTTTAAAAAGGAATCAGAGCAATGTATCTGCATACCCACTCAGCACCAACCTTACACAGGGAAGAAATACATTTAGGACATTGGACAGATTTGCCTCAGAATTTTGCCAACTCACCTTGACTTCAGCCAAGATTGATAAAGCGCTGAACCATCGACTCTATGAAGCCAAGTGGGAAAAAGGGAGAAGAGAATGAATGAAAGCTGGTTATTCATTTCCAGCAGGGAATGACAACCTTTTACATAAATGGAGGAGACTGTTGAAAATCTCTAAGGAACAGAATTTTCCAGATCCTAATGGGAAACTTAGCAATGAGGAAAGGAGTGAACATGGTTGAAGGGAAACAGAGAGGAGAGAGAGGACAAAAAATAAGAGGGAGGGAGGGAGGGAATTAGTGTCAGCAGTGGATTTCTTACTGTTATTTAAAACATCTCATAGGTAGGTCTCCTAATAGGCTAGCAAATTAAAGCTTGTTCTTTCTTGCAGCCAGTGCTCAGATAGCCCAGCACTGTAGGGAATGGAAAGAGTGTTCTGGACCAGGTCCTTCTAGGACAAGGGTTGATGCATTTATTCTGGAAGGATTCTGATCATAAATACAGTATTTTCTGTCACAACTGTTCAACTGCCGTTGTAGTCAAAAGCATCCATAAAAAAATAAGCTTGGCTACATTCCGCTAAAATGTTATTTAACTCACGCCCAGCTAGATTTGGCCCGTGGGCTGTAGTTTGCCAACCCCTGTTCTAGTGAATGGGCAAAAAATATGTATCCTGTGCTATATATCCACTGGCTTTCCCTCAGAACAACCTGAGGCCAGAGACAGAGAAGCAGCTAAATTTATCTACTCTAAAATGGTTTTATTCCTAGGAATAAACTAGTTGCCTTCGAGTCGATTCTGACTCATGGAAACCACGTGTCAGAGTAGAACTATGTGCCCTAGGTTTTCAGAGGGACTCTGGTAGCATAGTGTCTAAGGCACTTGACTGCTAACGAGAAGGCTGGCGGATCAAATCCACCAATCACTCCTCAGAAGAAGGGTTGGGCAATCTACTTCCGTAGTGATACTGCCTTGGAAACCCACGGAGGGGTCGCTATGAGTTGGGTCTGACTTGATGGCAAATAACAACAACAACAATCTTTCAGAAGCAGATCACCAGGCCTTTCTTCAAAGGCACTTCTGGGTGGACTTGAACCACCAACCTTTCGGTTGGTTAGCTGCTGAGCATCCAGGGACGCCATTCCAGGGAATACTCACATTCAAAACTCAAGTAGTATTTATACCCCAAAATCCGATTTCGTTGCTGCTGGGACATAGTGCTGGGGGTTACATCCTGGCTCTTTGATGATCGGTATTGGAAAGAAACCCTTGGATGTTGGGAGGAGGGATGTAACATGCAAGGAGAAGCACCAGGTGGGGGATGGGAGCTGGTGACACAGAGAACAGAGCAGCCAGTGTACTTAATGGCACTCTGCACTGGTTAGCAGTAGGGGGAGGACTGGAGCCCCAGGTCGTGCCATGGGAATGTAAACCATGCACGTCTCATGCCCGGCAGTACTTCAGCACATTGACTGTTTTACTCACGTCTCTCAAAAGCTAAAACAATAACATTCTCCCTGTTGCTCAGTCTGCTGCTTGTTAGCCAGCTCCTCACCTCGTGAGTGTGAGGCATTGCCTTTCTATGTTCCTCATTCTAAATGTTGTGTATGTTCACCTACTGATGTCCTGTTGGTTGCTTCTACTGTAATACCTGTCCATTGTATTTATTGTTTCTGTGTTTTCCCTTCTATGGCATACAATCACTTACTGTGTTCACCTGAGCCCCTTTACTGATCTCTGTTGTATACTTTTCATGCCACTGGTTTGTGTTTTTTCTAAAATCTGGTCAATATCATTTCATTCTGCTTCCTGGCATTATTGAAAGCATGCAATCATATTTATTGCTAAGGTTCTTTTGCTCAAAACTGAGGAAAGGCCAACCAAATTCCTGTATGTGTTTATTAAGGTACTTGTACAATCTAAAATGTAAGCAAAGGAGACATTAAAAATGGACCCTTCACTTGGGCTTCATGCTTCATACAAATTTACTCATGAGCCTTCCATTGAGGAAGGATGTTGATCTCTAAGTACAGATATGATGTTTATTTTGAGCTTCACATCTTAACAAGATGATCTGAACACCTCTCCTTTGTATCAATAAACTTCTGAGTTATTCTGAAATGGGAGGACTGTGTATAGCAAAATGCTGATACCCAAAACTAAGTAAACAGAAACCACCAGCCCAGGGTCGTAGTCATACTTTGACACACACAAAGAGAAATGTAAACTCGAATCAAGTAAAAGTCTTCTCCATAAAAACATGGAAAAACAATGCTTCCAGTGGCCATTTCCTAAGGAAGAATAATGTCATCCGATCTCAGAATTGGCACCACGTGGGCTTGCTAAGTCACAATTTGTTTCTGTTACGGATTTAGGCCACAGGACCTGTACATTGTCACAGTGCATTCTTTTTCTGCAACTGTTAATAAAGATTTTAAATCACCAGCTTCCACTCGTGCAGCATTATTGTCTGAGAGACATTTGATAGGGAGGGCAGAGGGGGCAGCTGTGAGCCGGTTGGCTTTGGAGTCTGTACATCTGCTGAATGTTCAGCCTTTCAGGGGTGAAGAATACAACCTTGGGTTTCTCCTGGCTAGTTCCAAGTCCTGGCCTAATGTACTCCAAGAGAAGAGGGAACTCCATGAAATGTTCTGGAAGGGCCACACCCATTCCCTGTTAGGGTGGTCCTAGAAGCTCCTTCTGGTCATCTCTGAGTCTTCCCTGTAGCCTGGCCACCCCTTTCAGACTGAGCCTATGGCCCATGCCACCAGCTTAAAGCCTGGTAGCCTAGCATAGGCAGGGACACTCACCACCTCCTCCCCAACTCTTCCCACCACAGCAAAACAGACTGGGGTCATTCATTTACCACCATTTACACCACTGTTGTACCTCTTGTGTGCCAGAAACTACATAGGCATTTTGCAAATTATATCTCACCCTATGTTCCACAATTAGAAGTGCCGAAGGCATTTGTTCTGGTTACCTAGTGCTGCTCTGACAAGAATATACCACAAATGGGATGGCCTTAACAAACAAGAGTTTATTCTCTTACAGTTCCGGAAGCTAGAAGTCTGAGTTCAAAGTGCCAGGCTCTATGGACTGGTTGAAAGCCCCTCGACCTTGGGCTTCAGCTCTGCCTCTTGCTCCATGTCCACCAAAGCTAGAGGCATCTCTTTACTCAAGCAGCTAGCTACTGGCTGCTGAGGCTGACAAGTCTAAGGTCAACAAATAAAATGGCACAGCCCTGATGTTACCAAACCACACGGCAGGCCATTAATTCAAGTCCATCGTAAGTCCCAAAGTCAGCAGAGCATGGCAGGCTGGCAGGCTGCTGAACAATGACTCAGCTACATGCAGGGTTCAAGCATGCCATGAGCTAGAGACCGTTTCCCAGGACTTCTCCTTATATACAGGAAGCAGACCACAGTAGATTCCACCATGGAGTTGATTACCAGTCTCATCATGGGGAATACTACATCCAGCTGCCCAGCCACTCAACCAGGCCCAGCCAAGTTGACACACAAACTTAACTACAGCAGCATTTGACTGCTAACCAGAAGGCTGATGGCTCAAACCCACCAACCATTCCTCGGAAGGAAGACTGGGCAATCTACTTCCGTAGAGATACCTCCTTGGAAACCCAAGGAGAGGTCGCTATGATTTGGAATTGACTCAACAGCACTGAGTTTGGTTTGAGTTTTGAGGTTTTGTTTTTTTTTTGGGGGGGCGGGGGGGGGGGGGTTATCCCCATTTTACAGTTGAAGAAACAGAGGTAGAGAAAGACTTGCTCCAAATCAAGTGGCTAGTGTCAGGGGGAGTCTGAGATTGAATCCAGATACAGGAGTCTATTGCTGTGGTTAAGGCATCCAGCTACTAACTGAAAGATCAGTGGTTTGAACCCACCAGCCGCTCTGTGGGAGAAAGATGAAGCAGTCTGCTTCCTTAAAGATTTATAGCCTTGGAAATTCTGTGGGGCAGTTCTCCTCTGTCCTGTAGGGTTGCTATGAGTCAGAATCAACTTGACAGCAGCAGGTTTGGTTTTTTGGTTTTAGGACCCGTCA